GCATACTTCCAATGGAATATTTTGGAATTTCTGAAAGAATGTGAAGTGGAACCTTTCGACCGGAAGATATCATGTTACATTGCGTGTCTTGAAACCATAGCTAATAATGAAGAAGGATGCAGGCGCGAAAGAGCACAATATTTGCTCGATCAATATAGAAAGGCGAGTATAAAAGCATTTTTTTGTTGAAAATGCAGGCGGGAAATGGATGGCAAGGGATTCTCTGAGGTTTCTTGTCATTTGGCGGTATTGAGGCACAGGAGACTCTCCGAGGTCGACTGATGTTCAAGGCTAAAAGCTAACTCAGTACCGGCCCTGTTGGAGCCCAAATGGTTCTCGAGGCTGTTTGACGTTCAAGGCTATAAGCTGATCCGACAGTTGGGATTAGAATGATAGAGTTATAGGAAATCGGTTCAAAAATTAATTTTTTTTTGTGCTAGGGTCCTAAACCCGATTACAAAAGAGCAAGAAATTGGGAAAGAGAACGTGTCTATGGATCGATCTACTTCCACCAGCCGACATTCGTGGATGGAAATCTCAGTGGGACTGTGAATAATGGAACAATAGGAACTGTAAATGGGATCGTTTCAGGATCTTCAAAAAGAGAGGTTCAAGTTCCCGATAATCAGGTACACAATTTTTTTTTTACTATAACTATCATTTTGTATTCGTTCCTAATAAAACTATAACCTTAATCTTTAGGATAATGATAAAGTCCCAAAGCGGACGAGAATTGATGATTATTTCCCTGTTCGTTGGCGAGATCAACAACCAAGAACTCCCGAACACCAAATATATCCGTCAATATATCCGTCAGGTTTTGGGTTCCCTTGTGTTCAAAAGGTAATTACGATCAGGTCGAAAAATGTCTTTTATAACTTTCTTTGACAAACACATAACATATGAACAAACTATGACAGAACGATATCGAGAATTCGTATGATATGCGATTTTATGAAGATATTAACATTAACGAAGACATCTACGTAGATGAAATACATTTGTCTCAGGAGGTAACAATGCTTATTTATTACTTTAGACAAAGTGGAAAATAAGACACAGG